GGGATATGGGTTTTGTATAGCAGCGTCCCCCACCCGCAATATCTTTAACTTGGGTGGTCTCACACCCCCAGAATGCCCCAACCAGCCATGGGGAATTGCTGGCTGGGGAATTCTGGGAGTTGAAGTCCACCCATGTTAAAGTTGCTGAGGTTGAGGAACCCTGCTATAAAGAACCTATATCCCTATGCTACCCAAGCTGTCTTCTGCCAAATAATAGGTTGCTCTCCATCAGGTGGAGCTAGCCAGAAACAAACCCTGAAGGCAAGGGGCCACATGTGAGTAACTATACTCAAGAATGACCAAGCCTTGGCTGCCCTTTCTTTTCTCACATTAGCAATTCACATCGGTGATACTCAAGCCTAAACCTACATTCTAAGGGCTAACCCCCCACTGAATAAAATAAAAATGCAAACTTTGGGGCATACATGAAAAAGCACTGGCTGCATATGAGGCCTGGGCAGCCATTTTGGTAGAGACCAGCCACAGCGAAAAGGCTCTGAGTTCAGTGAGAAAATGACAGGATTGCAGACTCTCCCTATGTTTCTCTGGTTTCTGCTTATGCATCTTTGAAACTAGATGCTGGGTTGCCCCTTATTTAAACAGAACATGTTCCTATGACTTTAAGACAGCTGATCCCTCCCAATGCAGTATCTCACAAATCTGCTCAAGTTAAAATGATAAAAGACATGTCTCCTGCATTTGTTAAAACTCTAGGTGAATGAAAGTGAATGAATGAAAGTATAGTACAAAAGAATTTGGGGGAGGGGGGGGATCATTTAAAATTCCCTACTTTGAATATGTACTTTCTGAACAGGTGCAGACACAGAACACTAGTATGTCTGTTATTTATGGCTGCCAGATATAGGAACAAAGATATTAAAAAGAAATAATTAAAAACTGGGAGGAACACTTCCTGTTAGACTTCAAAAGAAGAGAATATGTTTAGCTCAGGGTTGAACTGTGGAGTCCTTGGGGTTCTCTGAGCTTGGTTGTTTTCTTGCAAACGTTTCGTTACCTGGCTAGGTAACACCTTCAATGGCTGCCAGATATAGGAACAAAGATATTAAAAAGAAATAATTAAAAACTGGGAGGAACACTTCCTGTTAGACTTCAAAAGAAGAGAATATGTTTAGCTCAGGGTTGAACTGTGGAGTCCTTGGGGTTCTCTGAGCTTGGTTGTTTTCTTGCAAACGTTTCGTTACCTGGCTAGGTAACACCTTCAGTGCTTCAGACTTCAAAAAGTTTAGCGGCCAGCCCTCTTCCATCTCCTTTATCCCTTCCATGTCCTTCATAAGGTGCTCTGCACTAGGTGGATTCCTTTTATCTTCCCATCCTTTCTTAACAAAACAGTACTTTTGACAGCTACAAAAACTACCCCTAAGGCTTTACCTGTCTAGGTAATACAAGGATAGTCCACTTTCACCTATGGGCTTTCTAGAATAGCCTACTCATATCTGGGCTGTAGAACTCCAACCTTTCTGTATCTCTTTGCTACCATCTGGCGATCATCCAGATTCCTGCCTCCCAGATAGCTAATCATATTGTAGGAACAGAGCTGCTGTTTAAAATGACAAGAGTCCCCCGAAATGGGGGGGGGGGGGGGGAGAAGGTAGCTGTAGTTTTAAGAGAAATCTTCCCTGTTCTGCACGAGCAATGCCTTTGTAATCTCCGAGCAGCCTCCATGCCAACGTCGGATGAGAAGTGGCTGCTGCTAATCGGATTGTCATCCACCTTAAAATATATCATTCCCCAACATGCTGAGGCAGAGAGATCATGCTCATGTAGGAACAATTAGATAGGTATCTGAACAGGTCCCAACGTCTGGGATTGATCTAAAGCTAGGCTTTGCAAGAACATTTGGAAGGTTGCTAGGCCTTGCCTGAAGGGGCTTTTAGCAATGCACCATAATTGGAGGGGGGGAGGCGGATTTGCTATAGGAGGTGTTTTACTTGTTTTCCTGCACTTGAAAGTGATTTAAGGTCAAGGTTCCCTGAAGCTGAGCTCATCTGCTGTTGATTATATTGGCACATCCAGGTAGTTTTCTTGGCATCAGCTCGGACGGAAGGGCTTCCAGCTCTGTAGGACTATCACCAGCTTTGTTTCTTTCTTCATTTCTGTAGCCTGTTAAAAATGTTTTATCAGCTTTCTAGAAGGACTCCTGTGGGTTTAGCTACGGCATCAGGTTGGGCACCTGTAGCTTTCATAAAGGAATTCTGAAAAGTTTTGGTACCCACTGCTGGAAATGAAAAAAGCAGTGTCTGCAGGATCAGAGAAAGCCCTGTTCTCCTTTGCAGCCCCACCTTTTGTAGTCTGGACCCGATCCTCATTTTTACTATTGTGCTGCTATTAGAAAAGCAGGAGAACTACAGGGTAGGAATAAATGTTCCTAGTCAGTTTTTTGGATTTCTGACCCTCCTGTATTGTTGTGGAGATTGATTTATGGCCCACATTTCTACCTTGCTGCAGTCTAGAGCAGGGTTTCTCAACCTTGGCAACTTTAAGATGTGTGGACTTCAACTCCCAGAATTCCCCAACCTGTTCTAGAGCCTCTTGGCAACTTACATCAAGTACTGTATGTCCTGCACAGTTGATATCTGGGGGGAAGAGGCAAATCACTTAAATGCTGTACCAGGACTGACTCCGAAGCTTACACTTCCCATAGTTACTTATTGAAAATTCGAAACCAACACCTTCTCCGCAAAGATGCCCCAGTTGCCTTAGCAGGCAAGCTTTTAACTTGTTCTTGATTTTACATTCAGTCCGTTTCCACGAAGGACCCAAATGCATTTATGGACAAGCACAAATTAACAATCACTGTATTATAGATAAAATAAAAACAATCCAGTGTTAACTACGTGACAGTTGTGCAGTCTCTTCCTTGTTCATGCATGCCAGTACCATTCAGTAGGGGAACGAGAAAACATGTTAATTTGTTTTAAAATTAAAAAGGCAAACAAGGGTAGGAAACTTTAGATTTTCCCCTTTAACAGGATCTGGCTCAACTTCACAGAAACTGGTTGACATTAATGACCTTTCTTTCCCCTAAGTGTTGGGTCCCTCCAGCCATCAGAGGTGACCAAATGTTTCTACCTGCTGATTGTTTAAGGAATAATTGTACAGTGATCTTCAGTGCCCTTCAGCAAATGCGAATTCATGCCAAAAATGCTATCATTTTGGCAGCTGCTCAGTGATCAACATAGGCTGGGTTTGTGAATAATACTCAACCAGTATTGGTTTCTGGTTTCTTGAACGTGCCGTTGTGGCCTGGTTTGCACATTCTGCTAAGCAACACACCAGGTTACAGCTTGACACGTTATCTACACCATGGTGTCTGCAGTGTAAAGAATGCAGGAGAGGGAAACATGGTTTCCGTCAGGCAAGGAGGAAAATGACCAGTGAAATGAATCCTGGGAGTGAAATGGTAGACAGCTAGTTCAAGAAGCTCCGGCCAAGGGAAGGTCCACCCCCTCCCTCCACATTGACCCAGGAGCCTTTATAGTGGAGCTTCTCCCTGCCCGGTGCTAGAAGGCGATTGTGGCAATGGCAGTTGAGGTTGCAATGCAAACTTGGTGGAGTTGCATTCCACACCTTTCTCGGGGGGGGGACTGCAGCTCCAGGGCCCTGGGTTGCCCATCCCTGCCTCCCATCAATCCCCCCTCCCCAGGTTAATTCAGCAGTAACCTAAAAAAACACAAGCTTCTTTCTGTCCTGTCACCCGTATGTAGTGACATTTGGAGGAGGCAGAGGAGGATTTTTCCGAGGTGCTGATTAGAGCTTCCAAGTCTTGGCCTTCAAGTAAAGCCATTTTCTTTAACTGAGCCCAACCAAAAAATCTGGTCTGCTCAGCTACAGGTGGAATTTCTTCTGAACGAGAGGCAACTTCAGTCCTGAAATTTGGTTCCAGTATTAAGGTCCTGTTGAAGAAGATATGAAGAAATGAGTCAAGAGGTTTCCAGGCACCTGCAAAGGACATTTTTCTCTATGTATCCAGAACTCAGGACTGGCAGCGACGTTAACTTCTCCATCTCTTCCATGCGGTGGGCTTGGGAAAGAAGGGACAGCCGTTTGGAAGGGCTCTGGCTGACTGTTCAGGTGAAAATGGTGGTGAAGGAATCCAAACCACATTAGCTATGGAGAGAAAAAAAGAAAGCATAAATGGGAAAGAACGGACATGGAAACATCTGCATTATCATTTTGTGCCAGTGTCTCAGTGGAGAATCATCAGAGGCCATTTATGGGAGAGGTTCCCCTTTGGCAGGTAAACTGGTCTATTCACATTCATACCACATGTTAACCTGAGTCAGGTCAAGGCCAAATGGCTGCATTTGTACCTAGGTGAAGCTTGGTTAGTGTTAACCTTGTTCTATTTTTTAATAGCTTAGTGGATTGTGCAAACCTGTTGGGGTTATTTTATGGTTCAATATATTGTGCTGTTGTGATGTCACTTGGCATTCACAAGACTGACAGCTGCTCCTCCACCAGGAATTGCACATCACTGTGTCTCAAGCAGAACCTTCCTAAGGAAAGCTGGCTAATTTAGCACATAGCCAAAGAAGTGATCCCCATAACTTCTCCCTATCCATGTGGAAAAGCTTTTGTTCTTTCGGAAATTGTAAGCAATGTTCTAGCAAACAAACTCTGGGTTGAAATGGAGGTGCGGGAGAAAGAGAGAACTCAAAGTCAACCTCTGATTAAAGGCAGAATTTGTAGGGAGGAGGATTTTCCAGGTACTGTAACAAATTGACACAGAGGTAATACCTCTTCAAAAAAATCCATTCTCTAGAGGAGTAGAAAAAGACTAAGAACTGTGCTTAGTTTGTTTTTCTGTTTATTTAAATGTATTGTTTCTGGTATCTAGTGTCTCTGTACAAGTTCAATCACTGTGTGTTTTTATGCAACCTGGAAGTTTTTTCATCAGTTTTATTTATTCATTCTACTTGGCTTACATACTGTTCCAGTCATCCACTGATTCTGAGAGGCTTACATTCCAACCATGCATAAACAAGGTTAAAATAACAAATGATGATCATAAACAATATAGATAGTAACATATTTCTATGTCAAGGAGTCACGCCCTATAGATCCCTCTTAGATCATTTTCCCTCAAAGGCCTGTTGAAATAGCCAAGTTTTAATAGCTTTTCTGAGCCAGAAAAGAATCTTGCAAGGTTCTGTTACTGTAACCTTACAATAAAGGTAGTGTTAGTACTCATGGTTGGTGCTTCTTGTCTGGACTATCTCAAAGGGCTGACATCAATCTTGCAAGTCTCAGAGTACCTCTCCCCTCCCTTACTTTTACTCTCCCGATAACTAGGGATGGTGTCTTCTGAGATGCCTTCCACTCCTACCCCTCCTTCGGACTCAGATTTCATTTATCAGACCTTTGTCTAGGCTGCAGCTCTTCCTCCTGTCTCCCAAGGTCATTCCCCAGACCACTACACTTAGTACAATGTATGAATGTGGCCATTAGGATTTGTAAGCTATGATGTATGCCTTGCTTGCTGTGTCAAATATTCAATATGGCTTAACGTGATGCATGAATCAGGTCTAACCTGGAGTAAGAATCACCTATCTATAGAAAAGCTTATCCCTGTTTCTGCATGAATCAATTGTTGGGTTCACACATCACACTAAGCTATGTTTTGCTTTAAACATGGTTTATAAAATAACCCATACTTCAGTCTCACAATGCATTAAACCATAAATCATTGTTTACAACGCATAATAGCTGAGTTCACACATCATGCTTAGCCAGCCCCAAGAAACCACATGATGTCTTAGCACAACGTGTGAATCCTGCCAATGACAGTGATAGGTTGTTGGCTTAAGATGCACATGGTTCCAGATTCTGTTTCTGGCAACTCGCTTTAGAAGAATCCCAAGTGATGGGGAAAGTGGTTGTTTGCAGGACCCTCTGGAATGCTCGAGTCAGTCTTCTAGTCCTTATCCTGAGCTAGATAATCAGTCTGACCTGGAATAAAGCCGCTTTCTTCTTCCTGTGTTGCATTCACTATTCTGGTCTTGCTTCTTTCCAGCTGTCGCTCTTGGGGTAGGATTGTGCCACGTCACCATAACTGTATGAGAAAACGTGGAAAAATTCAGACCCAGCAAAATTATTTACGTTCAAAATGGAGGTGCCCACTGTATCTCTGGATAGATGGCTGTGTTGGGTTTGGCATTCTCCACTGAAAGGTATCTTCAGAATAAAAACTCATACAAAACCTCAGAGAGGGTGTGTAAATCTTGTTTTTACATTTTCTACTAGTAACTCTTTTTATGGAGTATAAGCATCAATGTAGATTGGGTTTTTTAGAGCGTCTCCTAGAGATTCATGAAACACTGACTTAAAACGTTCACCATTTGGGAAGTATAAATAAGTCTGGTGTGCGTAATACAAAGTAATTTTAAATTTAAATTCACAGAAACTGAACGAAACGAGACAGTTTTAATGCTTTGAGCATAGAAAATATATTGGTGGAAACTCCTAAAGTTGTAATGGCCATTTCTTCACCATTAATTTGTGAGTCCCCCAGGATCATCCACCCACCAGCCATCCTTATGGCAAGATAAAAAACCTTCATTCCTCTTATATTGCTACCACATGGGAGAATGACATTGAATAAATCACTAGTAAGGAAAAAGCCTATTACTACAGCATCAGGGTTTCAAGACCATGAACGATCCTGCCATCCCTGCTGTATTCTTGTCCATTTCTTTGTTTAGGGTGCATGTCTACTCTGAAATAAGTTTCACTGAGTTCAGTAGAGCGTACTCCCAAATAAGAAGATAAAGGATTCCTCAGCCATAGTATGGAGCTTTAAAATAGCCCTGTCCTGCAATTCCACTGTGGCTGTAGTTGCCCAAGACCCTGAACCACAGGCAACCCTATGGCCTGGGTGTGTACACAACATGGTTACAGCCACCATTTAGGCTAGCATATTGTATGAATCCATCTGGTAACATCCAAGTCTTCCCTTCATACATCATGGGCCACCTATGTAAATCCTGGGGGTGAGGCCCATGGGACCAAGCCTGGCTGCTGCATTTGTAAACTTTTCCAAAAGAAGAAGATAGAGTGACTCACCAGCTGCAGACTTCTTGGATGCCTTCCTGGAAGGAGACAGGGAAAAAAGGCAACATTAGACAGCTAGATGAAGAGGATTATTTTTACGCACCTGTTGACAGAGTGAGGCAAATCCAAATCCAGAGCTCACAGGCAGATTTCTTGGCAGCAAGTTCACTACAGCTTTCCCTTAGCTGGCCATACTGAACCAGAGCTTCCCTTCCACCAAGCCAGTTGTACTGTCTTTGCCAAAGATGGGGAAAGGTGTAGAACAACTGCTGTGCAAACATATTGAAATGTGAAAGCCAGCAGCACAATGTGGAGATTTTGCATGGCGGAGTGGTTGAAAGGGTTGGACTAGGATTGGGCAGACTCAGGTTTTAGTCCCCCCTCAATTGCAGAAGCTCCCTGGGGGGCTCTGGGCCAGGCCCTCTCAGCCCAAGAGCCAAGGGTGTAGGATAATGATGAAGGTATGGGGAGGACAGAGTGGGGAGATCAAGTCTCTCCTCAGCCATGGAAGCTCACTGAGTGAATGGGCCAGTCACTCACTCTCAACCCAACCCACTTCACTGGGCTGTTGTTGTGGGAACCTTATACTTCTGGAGGACAGGCAGGAATCTAACAAATAAATGTCTACTAAGTTGGAATCCTTATTAATAGTAACTAGAGAAACTCATAAAGGAGAACAGAGCTAACTACAGGTGACAAGAACTGAATGAAATGTATCAAGGAACAGCAGAAATAACTCAAGAGGGTTCTTGCTTTGACACTCAGCACATCTCACCAGTATGCAGGTTGGCTACTGAATGGATTAAGTTACCAAACAAGATGCACATTTGGTCTGACCTAGAAGATGATACTTGCATTGTTACACAATGGCTTTTTGAGCAGAAAGACCTTCCCAGCCAGGCTGGGAATTGGATTCCCAAACCATCTGCAGAGCAGTAGTTGGAGAAGGTGGGAGTAGCATTGGAGAGCATATCATTGTAAGGAGCAATCTTTGGGTTAGGGCAGTCTTTCTCAAGCTCAGCAACTTTAAGCTATGCTGGCTGGGGAATTCTGGGAGTTGAAGTCCATACATCTTAAAGTTGCTGAGCTTGTGAAGATAATTCTCTAGACATGGCATTATAGCTTCCAAATTAACCCAACAAGAACAGAGAAATTATTACAGATACGGAAACTTAATGATCTATACAGGATCACCTGCAGTTTTCCCCAAGCCCAGGTCAATCTAAGCTTATCAGTGTTTTGCAGATAACATTAGCCCAGTCAGGCATAAATCTGCTAACTTGTTGAGGTCCTGAATTATTCCTCATTTAGCTTTAAAAAGTGACTCCCCCCCCCTTCCCAATTTCCTGATAATTTCACACACACACACCATCAGCACAAATGTTATTTTAGAGAAATATATCAAATGTTAATTATTCGTGTTTTGTATTCTTCTCAGTTATATATGTATAGTAACAATTTTGTACTCCCAAGGCAGAGGCTTAATTTCCTCCTCCTCCTGTTTTTCACTTAGTTTTGTAAGGGAGGGGGTTAGTTTATTAATGTCGCATCGGTTTAATTAAAAAAGAAAACTTTCAAAAACAATACTGTTGTCTTTAGAGATCTACAGTTGTTTTTGAATGAGGAAGAAGTTAAAAATGTATCACTTTATTCATGTTAACATATGCATTCAGGGCAGACTTTCAAATTTGAGCACTAGTATAATCATGCTTCAGCTGTTTTATTTACTTATTTATTAACTGTCTGACTCCATCATGACTCTGGGCAGCATACCATGTGAAACCATTGAAAATATTTTAATATGAAAGAAACCTCCCCAAAAGTTGTCAGGAGGACAAGAAAGCTGCAAAGAATACTCAAATGCAATGTTTCTCAACCTCAGTTACTTTAAGATGTGTGGACTTCAACTCCCAGAATTCCCCAGCCAGACATCGGCGTCTGGCGGATTTTTTGGGTTTTAGTACGCACATTCATTAATGAATG